CCTAAAGTTCGCTTGATAGCTCGAGTGCCACACAGCACATCGGAAGAGGAAACAGATGGTTCTAAACTAAGAAAAGATAATGAAACATCTGGACTGTTCTCATTCTTCAAATCGGGTACACGAAAACAGCGTGGGGACTCTCAAGAAGGTTCCGATTCTTCTGATCCCGGGAAACACGGCGGACCAAAGGAATCAGTCAGGAATCAAGAGGGAATCGAGCAAGTTTATTCTACGTCGTCTTCACAGGATCATGATGCGAAAGTTTCTGCTGGTGGTCCTGAATCCATTGGTTCCCGCACATATGTTTTTGGACGGTGGCGACATGATGCTAAAAGTGAAGGTGAGAAGGATCCGAATCAACCAGGAACTTATGGTGTATCTTCCGCCTCTTACGAGAATCCCCATGAGTCTACGACTAGCCAATTTCAGGTTAAGGTGACTGGGAGAGTAAGGGGAAGCGAAACCATTTCTCATAATCTCGTTGAAGATCAAAAAACTCGTCTTCCTGGACATGGGCTCGCTCTTCAGAAGGTGTAAAACCTACTGGAGATGAAGAATCTGCTGGATTACGTTCAGGAAAGGATCTTCCTCAACGTGACTCATCTGAAGAATCAGAACGTTTAATAGCTGTTGCAAGTAGTCATACAGGTCGTCTTGAAGGGAGAACATTGCAAGGAGATGAATGGGTGGAAGTTCGTGTAGATCGACGTGCCGAGGTTCAACTTGAACCCGTGTTTTGCTTGACAGGGGCGGGGTTACGCGATCTCTCCGAGGACGAAGCTGGGATGATCTTCTCTGTTACGCCACCAATGCCGTCGTCTAGTCGTTCGTTCTTCAGTCGACTCGGTTTCAAGGTCCGCCTTTTGTTTTTTGCCCCACAATTAGGGTCATCCGCACGTTTCTGTGTTTCACTGCGCTATAGCTGCTTGCTTTTGTACGCATTTCAGTTCATTATTGTGTTGTGCTGTTGTTTTACCCTCTAATACATGCTAGCATCGCTCACAATAAACGATTTAGTTGGATGAGTTATGTTCAGCGTGAAGGCAAGCTTCATCTTCACCTATGTTGCTAGCTTAGAACATTGTGATGTGATGTTTTTTCTTCTTCTGGCACATGACCCTAATTGATGTGCGGGCGTTAGTGTCAGTGTGATTGATACAGTGGGAAACGGCTCAAACCTTTACTTTTCGTTCTTGCCTTTTCAAAGAACGTCATTTTGGTGAAGTTATGGTGAATCATTTGGTAGGAGCCGTTTTCCATTTGTGTCAGATGTGTTTTCTCAACGAATCCGTTTAAATTATTCAAACTTTCCATTACAGAGTTCATCACAAAAGCCAAAGAAACAGAAGAAAGGCAAGAAAGAATCCGACTCAAGTGATTCTTCTAGTAGTTCGGAAGATGAGAAAAATCAGATCCAAGTTATACCAGTCGAGGTTTGTATGAACTTTTTTTCCACATTTTTAGACGTATTTAGGTCACTTAATTTTATGTACATTTGCAATGATTTGGTAGTTGGACGTACTGCACTAGAGAGATCTTACTTCAACTTTTCTGCTGTACTATTTGCCTAGCGCTTAACACTTGACGCTCTATGAAGTCACTGCAGGCGCTCGTATTTGCAGGGCACTAGAAGTTGTTTACTGAGTATTGACAAAGTCGGTATATGTAACTGGAACAATTGATTAGTTTTTTATGTCCACCTGCTTAGGCCCCGAGAGCTTTTAGATTAGGCCTAAAATGTTTCCAGTGGTCTTCCCCTGTTATTAGGTGTACTCTTAATTACTTGATTGTAATGGTGGTGATTTCAGGTGGTAGATTTTCCCAGCGCCAGCGTAGTTTGGGGTAGGAGGGGCATTTATCTTTGTACCCTTGTTGGAGGAGGCGGGCGCGGGGAACATTCGTAACTGTTGTATCCCTTCCCCAAAATGCCTAGGCTCAGAGCCTAGACGACAGACGTCGAGGTATAGTCCCGCAAAAAAAGACAGTCTCCGCTGATCCGGGTCTTTGAACAACTAGAACTCAATCCTTTGAATGAATCAACTTTCTCTTTTTCTCTGCGTTCTCACATCTGTACGACACTCCGTGACCACTGTGACCTGACAAAGTTCAACTTTCCATGCGTGTTAGGTTTCTCATTCACCCGGAATTTCCTCCCTCTGAACAAACTCATCCCGTGGCTCGTGACATGTTTTTGCACCTTTCGATGGCTGGGCAGCCGCAGGGTTGCGTGACAACTAAAGCTTTTGGCGGGGTCCTGCTGCGAACGGCCAGAGCGCAGACAAATAAAAAAATACTGCCGTCAAGGTATGGAGAGGTACAAAAAACATATCGCCGAGCCACGGGATAGGCTTTTTTCGAATGGAGAGGACACCGGGGTGGACGAGCCACTCACTATGCGTGAAAAGTTGGAATGTGAAAGGTCAGTGTGGTCACAGAACGCCATGCAGACGTGAGAGCGCAGAGAAAAACAGAAAGTTGGCGGCATTAATGGGCCTGTGTTTTAGTTGTCGGTATACCCAGCCGCAGTGCTTTGTTTCTCTGCACTCTGGCCTTTCGCGCCGGGACCCGCACTGAAACTTCCAGTTGTCACGTAACCCCACTAAGCATGAGCCTTTTTAGGGGAAGGGAAGTAGAGGCGGTGGTGATTGTTTCCAACTACTCAGCTGCGTGAGAGCCGATTTTTTAAATCATGGCGAAAGCGTAAAAGGTTATTGCCACGACCATTAACTGGTTACGGTGATCCTAAAATCAGTGTAATGTGAAGTTTTAGAATAATAGAAATAATAGAATTTTCGAGAAAGCAGAGAGTTAGTAGTGGGGGGAATCAGGAAATGCTAGCTCTGAGGGCTGAGTGTACTATGGTTTTGGTGGGCCAGGTTCCATCCTAATGTGTTTTGGTACTCACCTCTTCTTTTTTTTTCCTCTTTTTTTTCAGCGGGAATTTCCCCTAAGATTTCTCTATAGCCTTTGCGAAGTTCTATTAGTCTTGTCGTTTTTTTTCATTTTTCTTACTTGCACTTAAAACTAAAATCACTTGGCACTCTCGCGAGCCAGCATCATCACTGCTCTAACGCTTTAACTGGTCATTGGGTTATTGTTGTGTATGCAACACCCTCACTAACTCCCTTCCTTGCACTCCAAACTTTCCGCTGGGCTCCCTATTTGTACCATGCTTCTAAAGGATTTATATTCTACTGTTTCTTAATATGCCCGAGCCGATTAGCTTTGAGGATGAGAGGGAGCGAAATAC